TCAAAAAAAAAAAAAAAAAAAGACATGGAGCTTTGTGCCAAATGTGGTGGCTCACACCTGTAATCCAAAGGCTTTGGAAGGCCAGGGTGGGAGGATTGCTTGAGGCCAGGAGTTTGAGACTAGTCAGAGCAGCATAGCAAGACCTCATTTCTACAAAAAATAGAAAAGTTAGCTGGGTGTCGTGGCATGCAATAAGACTACCCCTGAGTAGTCCCAGCTGCCAGGGAGGCTGAGGCTGAGGCAGGAGGATCACAGACCGACCAGTATTTGATTGCTACTGCAGAGCTAATAATTCAATGGAAATTACAAAGTGAGTCTTTTTTTCAGATCTTGTTTCATTTTTATTCTTACAAGCTCTATCTCTTTGTGTGTGTGTGTGTGTGCAGTTTTTTGCCGGGGCTGGGTTTGAACCTGCCACCTCTGGCATATGGGACCAGTGCCCTACTCCTTTGAGCCACAGGCGCTGCCCTACAAAGTGATGCTTAAAGTGAATACTTCCATTTCTAGCAGTAGCAGTACAATGTTAAGGTTTATACGCTTCATTTTGTACTGTCACCTGAAAGCTGTTTAAAAACATGCACACGCAGGTGGCACCTGTGGCTCAGTGGGTAGGGCACCAGCCCCATATACCAAGGGTGGCAGGTTCAAACCCAGCCCTGGCCAAACTGCAACAAAAAAATAGATGGGGGATTGTGGCAGGTGCCTGTAGTCCCAACTACTCAGGATGGCTGAGGCAAGAGAATCACCTAAGTCCAGGAATTGAAGGTTGCTATGAGAGGTGTGACGCCACGGCACTCTACTAAGGGTGATAAAGTGAGACTCTGTCTCTACCGAAAAAACAACAACAACAAAACATGCATATACTACTTGTAAGGCTGAGGCAAGAGAATTGCTCAAGCCCAAGAGTTTGAGGTTGCTGTAGGCTCTGATGCCATGGCACTCTATCGAGGGTGACATAATAAGACTCTGTCTCAAAAATAAAATAAAATAGGGTGGTGCCTGTGGCTCAAAGGAGTAGAGAGCTGGCCCCATGTGCTAGAGGTGGTGGGTTTAAACCCAGCCCTGGCTGAAAAAACTACAAAAAAAAAAATAATAAAATAAAATAATTTTTCTTTTGCATTGCTCTGCCCATGTTCACTGTATCACGTGACTATCAACATCGTCATAGAAGAGTGATACACGTTCATCCGGTACATAGACTGGTCTGTGTGGGGGATCCTAATGTGAATACCACGAGTTCTCACCAGAACTTTGCTGGCAAAAAGCGGGGTGTACTGGCCAGGTGCAGTGGCTCATGCCTGTGATCCCAGCACTCTGGAAGGCTGAGGCAGGTGGATTGCCTGAGCTCAGGAATTCAAGACCAGCCTGAGCAAGAGTGAGTCCCCATCTCTACTACAGGTAGAGATTAGCCAGGTGTTATAGTGTACGCAAGTAGTCCCAGCTACACGGGAGACTGAGGCAAGAGGATTGCTTGAGCTCAGGAGTTTCAGGTTGCTGTGAACTATGATGACACCACGGCACTCTAGCCAGGGTGATGGAGTGAGACTTTGTCTCAAAAAAACCAAGAAAACCCATTCCACTATAATATAAAGTTTATTTTCAGAATCTTTTTTTTGAGACAGTCTCAAGCTGTCCCCCTAGGTAGAGATCCTCTTGCCTCAATTTTTCTATTTTTAGTAGTGATGGGGGTCTCACTTCTGCTCAGGCTGGTCTGGAACTCATGGGCTCAAGTAATCCACCTACCTCAGCCTCCCAGAGTGCTAAGAGTCCAGGCGTTCCTGGCCATATTTTCAGAATCTTTAACTGGCTCACATCAATCCTGAAAGATGAGTAGAACCCTTGTATATTTTCTCATTCTATGGCACAGGAATTTCTGGGCATTTGTTTCTTTTGAAAGATAGGATCTTGCTTAGGCTGGAGTGCAGGAGTGCAGTGGCAAGATTGTAGCTCACTAGGGTGTCACCTGTGGCTCAGTGAGTAGGGCGCCGGCCCCATATACTGAGGGTGTCGGGTTCGAACCCAGCCCTGACCAAACTGCAACAACAACAAAAAAAAAAAAAAATAGCTGAGCATTGTGGTGGGCACCTGTAGTCTCAACTACTCAGGAGGCTGAAGCAAGAGAATTGCCTAAACCCAAGAGCTGGAGTTTGCTGTGAGCTGTGACAGCACAGCACTCTACCAAAGGTGACAAAGTGAGACTCTGTCTCTAAAAAAAAAAAAAGATTGTAGCTCACTATGACCTTAAACTTTGGGCTCAAGTGAGCCTCCTACCTCAGTCCCCTGGCAGTAGCTAGGGTTATAGACAGATGCCATCATGCCTGGCTAATTTTTAACATTTTTTTTTTTAAAGACAAGGTCTTGTTATGTTGTGTAGGCTGGTCTCAAACTCCTGATAGCAAGCATTCCTCCTGCCTGGGCCTCCCAAAGTGCTAGTATTATAAGTGTGAGCCACGAGCCACTGTGCCCCATCTCTCTCTCTCTCTCTTATTTATTTATTTAACTTTATTTATTTATTGAAGTTTTTTTTTTTTGGCTGGGGCTGGGTTTGAACCTGCCACCTCTGGCATATGGGGCTGGTGCCTTACCCCTTTAAGTCACAGACACCACCACCCCCCTTTTTAAAATTTAATTCTCCTATTGAGTTTATTTCTGTTAAAGTTTGGAATAATTTTTTTCCAGGGGTCCAAGATCTTCCTCAGTCTTCACCCTCTAAACAAACATATAATCCTTCTTATCTTTTCCTCATGTCTCCCCACAGCCATATATGTCATTGGCGCAGCAGATGGTACCGCCTAGTTCAAGCAATAGCACCCCTAACAGCAGCGGTGGAAGCAGTGGAAGTGACCAGCTGAGCAAAACCAACCTATACATCCGAGGATTGCAGCCAGGCACTACTGACCAGGACCTTGTCAAGCTGTGTCAACCGTAAGTTAGGGTCCATGTCGGTAGGTGTCCAGGAAGCATGCAGATTTAGTGCTGCTGGCTTCTTGCCAGGTATTTTTATCCCAAAATGCAATAGTCTTTTGCTCCTACCCAATAGTCACAAGTTTTCTCAGCAGCCCCTCTTTTAAAAAAAAAAAAAAAAAAAAAGGGCAACACCTGTGGCTCAAAGGAGTAGGGCGCTTGCCCCATATGCCAGAGGTGACAGGTTCAAACCCAGCCCCGGCCACAAAAAAAAACCCTGATATTGGTACATAAAACCTTTATATGTTTCTTTCTGATGAATGCCGAATGATGAGACTGGCCTTTGAACCTCATCTCCAACTTTATTTCTGGCACCTCCCCTACACTGGTAGTCTTAGTGGAAAGATCACTATCCTTATACCCTTTTTGTTTTTTTTTCTTTTGTCTGAAACAAGATCTCCATCTGTTGCCTAGGCTAGAGTGCAGCAGTGTGATCATAGCTCACTGCAGCCTCAGACTCTTGAACTCAAGCCATTCTTCTGCATCAGCCTCCCAAGTAGCTGGGACAACAGGTGCACACCACTCCACCTGGCTAATT